TACCCTTTTATTATTATAGATACTCCCAGAACACATACACGTTATAGTATTCTCTTCCCACATGGTCACACTGTAGAGGTCAGTCTTGTAAAGGACCCTGGCAGGACTGTCTTCAGCTGCATTGTCAGCACGTGGCTGCCCTGGAGGCTGTGGGGCTGCCCCCCAGGGATGGGCAGGTTGTTTCCCTTCTCTGCTATCATCAAACACACTGCCCTGTGCACAGCAGCCAGGGCTTCTCCGAGGGAAATGCCCACCTTTGGAGCCTGGACTGCCCGAGGGCGCGGGGTTCCCACAGGGAACTCCCCTCTGCGGGGGGTGCGGGGCTCTCATGTGTTTTGTTCACTCAGCCTGTTAGACTTGCAGGACTCCTGGGACCTCTGAGAGCAGCCAGGCTGGCTTTTCACAATGCGCTTCAAGGAATCTTAGGGTTCCAGACAGGATGGGGGACAGGGAGGAGGGCGAGTCCAGACCCTCACCCCCACTCCAGCCAGAGCACCTGCCTTTACCTGGTTCCCAGTGAAGTTTCCCCTGTAAAGAAGAATCATGCTGTTGTAAAAGTCACAGGTTTCTGATGTGGCCCAACCCCTGACCTGGCACAGGGTTCCCTTCGGTGTCACACCTTCTGGATCTGTTCCCAGTAGAGCAGCCTCTGGCCGTGTTCTTGCTGGTGACGCCACGCGGCCGGACCGAGCTCCCAGATGACAACCCCCAAGGTGGCCTCTGCAAGTGTGGCTCTTGTGCCGCTGGGTTGGCATTTTAGGGTGTTCCCTGCGGGGTCCCAGCAGGCCCCTCGCAGCACCCACATTTCTGTAACCTTCTCCGCTCACACGGGGGCGGGCTGTGTTAAAGTGCACAGGGCTGGGTTCTGATTGAGTGCTTTGGGGGAGCCGGGGAATGTGCATTTTAAAGCCTTGCAGGAGGTTCTGAGGAACAGGTCCAGACACTGGCATTGCAGACAGCTGGCCAGGGCCCCTCCCGCAAATCACAACCAGGCTGGGAGGGCTAGAAAGTCGTTTGTTTTATCCAAAGTTTTTGTTCCTTGGACAGAGGGACTCTGAAGTCATCTGAGCCAGGGCTCCCCAAAGTGGGGTGCCTCTGCTGCTGGAGAGGTTGTTAAAATGAAGGTTTGCCCCCTGCTCATCTGTCAGAAAGAAAACTCTGAGTGTGGCCTTGGAATCTGGTATTTTAAGCAAATTCTCCAGGGACAGCCATGAAGTCCAATTCCCTCCAAACCCCTGAAAGATGAGGAAACTGAGGATCAAGAGGTAAAAGTGACCTGTGCCCAATCACAAGTCACATTCGTGGCAGAACTGGGTCTAGACTCTGAGCCTCCATACCAGGGCGAGGCACTTGTCACCATCTAGCAGGTCTGAAGGCACTTTGCTCCCTGGCTGGCTGTCCCACGACAGGCCTCTGCTATCTGGAAAAGCTATCTACAACCCCATGGACATGACCTCTGACCTCTGATTTGACTGAGTCACCGTGTGTGTGTGTGGTTGGGGGGGGGGGGATAGCAAAGGCGGGCAGAGTGGCCGTGCATGCAAACATCTGTGTCTCCACCCTCCTCTGCAAGGCCTTGCGCAAGGTCGGACAGACAGACATGACCAATGGGTACAAACGGAACCCCACTTTATTAGCAGTTAGTTCGATATTGTACATTAATGGAGGAAGGTTCCCACTGTTAACACAACCCAAAACGGCTGATTTGAGAGCCCTGATCAGGTGAGCTGGGTAGCGCCCCCTCTCCACGCCTCTCTCCACCCCAAGGGAAGGAAACCTGGGCCTGCTCCCCCAGCGTGCCCCCCCACCCTCTCCAGTCAGCCCTCTCCTCTCCCCAGGAAATGACATGAATTTCATGCACAAATTACAAAAGGAGCCCTCTTGCTGATAATAAACGCTAGCATAGTCTTAAAAAACCCTCTCCTCCCTCATTCTCCTCAAGGGCCACAGAGAGTGAGGGAGGGAGGAACTTAGGATAAAACACAGCCAGAGTCTCCCCAAGCCCTTGACGTTGACCATGCCCATCCCTCCAGGAAGCTGAAAATATCTCCAGTCTAGGCTGGTGCTTGCCCGGGGGCAGCCAACCCAGGGATGGCAAACCCAGAACCCAGCAGCGCCTGCAGGGAGTGGGGGCGGGGATGGGGCTGCCTGGGCCCTCCATCCTCTCTTCAACTAGGGCAGACCCCTTCTTCCCTGACATCTGAAAACCCGGCTATAGCTCCACCTGCTCGGTGTATAAATGGGGGGACTGAGGCCCTGGGAGGAAAGCTGTCAAGCAGCTGAGGTACCAGTTGGGACGCAATCGCCCACCTCCTGCCTCCAGCCCAGTGCTCTTCTCCTTACACCACGGTGAGGGGTGGGGGGCGGTTCCCCAGCTAGACCTTTCCCCGGCACATCCCAGGGGCCTGGCTCTGCTCCAGTGCACACTGACCACGGGCCTCCAAGAACCGGAGACCCAGGACCACGAGAGAGAGAGAGACAGACAGACAGAAAAAGACAGACATGCAGTTTGGTGCCCTGTGGTCCATCACCAGGATCAAAGCGGGGAGGAAAGGCTCTTCTTCTGAGCCAGGGACATCTCATTCCCGAGGCCCAACACAACTTGGTCTGGCCTCCATGCACGCAGCCTCCTCCTCCTAGAGGGCCTCCAAGCCTCCGCCCCCCTGCACCCCAGGCCTGGCTGCAGGGCTGCCTCCCGCGCTCCTGAGCTCCTGGAGCTCCAGCCGGCCCCTCTGCTGGTTTGGCACTTGGTACAGGTGGCAGCAGAGGAGCACCTTAGGGTGGAGGGAAGTTGTCAAGTCAGCACAAAGGCAAACCTCCTCACAGCCTCAGGTGTTCGTGACAGTACAGGGGCTGGGGCTTCGCCTGACGCCAGGAGGAAACCGCAGAACGCAGCCTGTCTGAGCAGCAGGCCTGCTGGCCTCGGAAGCAACGGCACTTAAAACTCAGAGTGAGCAGGACTTTTCCACCTTCAACGTGCCTTAAATCACAGGTACAAACGCAGTGTGTGCCCCTTGATTGGATGCAAATTCCAAACCAGGTGTAAGTTATTTGGGGGAAAGGAGAATGGGGGTTGGAGAGCAGATGTGAGGAATTATCGTTTCAGGGGAGATATTGGGCCACTGCAGAGAAGAACATCCTCAGTCTTAGCAGATGCAGCCTGCAGCATTTTGGGGTGAAGTCTCGTGATTTTTACTTTTAAGCTGATTCAGAAATGTAGAGAGAGAACGTACCACAATGTTCATTTTAAATCTGGACGGCGGGTGAAATCCATGGACCGCCCGCCCGCAGTGTTCTGCTGCTTCGGACAGACCTCTGCCCCAACCTGGGCCCCGACACTGGCTGCTCCTACTTAGGGGTTTGGAAAGGGCCATCTTTAAAGTTCAGACTCGTCCACCATCACAAGATGCCTGCCCTGCCGGTGGCTCTAGAGCTGCGAGTGGCTGAGGCGTTAGCTGGCCTCCCCTGGCTCCCACCTTGTGGACACGGGCTCGTGGTGGGGTCAGCAGAAGGGATGGTGAAGTCATCTACATGGTTGAAGCCCCCCCGGCCCCTCTCTCTGGCCAAACCCTTACAGTGAATCAGTGAGCACTGAGCTGCTGCTGCTGCGCCCACTGACCTCTGGTTCTCCTCCTGACGGGGCCTGTGCTCAGTGGCTGAGTGCCCCGGAGCCTGTCTCTGCTCTGTAACCCCTGCAGGGCCTGCAGTGGGTCCTGGAGAGACTCGTCAGTGGCAAAGGAAGTGACAGCAGTGACCAGATTTGTATGTGGCAGGGCACGTGCCAAGCCTCCCAGAAGGGCCTGGACAACAGCCCCCAGTGTCTCCTCTGCTCCCACAGGTCTCACCCCTGCCTGTCCTGCCGGGGCTTGGAGAAGGGGAGCTGCCGGCCCCTCAGGCCCCATTCAGAGCTTGGGGGGGAAGCGGGGGCAGACGTCCAGGCCCAGAGGGCAGACTGCTGTGAGGTCACCAAGGTCACGGAGCCCTTACCCTCGCTGACAGATGGGAAGTGAGACCTGGGACTTGCCCCAGGGAAGTCCCTGCTGCACTCTGGGAGTCTGGTTCCACAAGCGGGCAGGCCGCCTGCCCTGCCCGGACACTCTGCGCTCACCCCTTGTGGGGTTGACGGTGCTCAGGGCTCCCAGGCCCAGAGGCCCGATGAGAAACACAGTGGGAACGCTTCTGGGTAGACCAGGAAACCACACGCAGTGTCCAACCCTCTCCATCCCAGTGGAGAACTGGGGAGGGGGGAGGGAACTGGTTCAGAGCCAAGAGTGACCCAGGCCCCGCAGTCTGGGAAGGGCCTTTGGAGGTGAGGAGAGTACGACAGGGATGCAAATGGAGGCCTGAGAAGCTCAAAGGCACCCTGGCTGGGAAGAAGTGGTTTGACCGAGGGCGAGAGAGAGGGCAGGACCTGGCAGGGGCGGGGGAGGAGGGCTCAGAGGCAGTGGCGCGGCAGGTAGGGCACTGACTGCGGCAGGAGCTGCACATCGTCCTCAGCCCCTGCTCCCAGCAGCTGTGACGTCGTCTCCACACCCGGAGGCCGTCCAGCCTCAAGGGGCCAGGCTCTCGGAAAGGCCTTCAGGGGGTCAGTCCGAAGCTGAACTGGCAGTGGGAGGGGCTGGGAGAGCACCCAGTTTAGTCCCTTCACATTGTTAAGAGGAGGGTAGGAGCAGACCCCAACCAGCGAACAGCCCAGAGCCCCGCGGTCTGCAGGCCCCGCGGCTCCAGCGCCCAGGGCAGCTCCCCACCTAGCACCGTGTGAGGGCACAGCGGCCTCGCCCAGGACGCCACCCAGCCCGCTGTCTCCTTTGGCCAAAATTCCCCAGGCTCCCTGGGGAGAGTGGGTCTTCCCCATGGACCCTGCCACCTCTGCTCACCCGGGCAGCCCAGAGAGCCCGCCCGGGCACCTGCACACAGTCGCCCTCCCTCCCCTCACGGAGAGACACCCTCTGGGCCTGGGGCTTGCCACCATTTTGTATGACTGAATAAAAACAAACCCAACCAAAAAAAATATAATATATATATACAAATTATATATATATATATATATGTATATGTATAACACAGTGCGACCCCAGCACCCAAAGTATAAACTCTGGCACCAAGAAGAAAAACAAAATATTAAAATACTTTAGCTTCTTAGTATTGGGGAGGTTAAGGGGCCTCTCGGAACCCTCAGCCACAGGTCGCCGGGCAAGGCCGTGGGTGGCAGTGTCCCCAGCTCACTGGGTGGGCCAGGGGCCGAGGCTGGCGGGCGTGGGGACAATGTATGTACACTGGAACACGTATACTGCAGACTCCTGAACCGCCTCAGTCTTTTACCACAGGAAACACCACGCGTGTCATACCCCAGGGTGGAAAGGGGTGGGATTGAGGCCTGGGTCTCTGGGTCCGAATGGCATGGCAGTGCCCAGGGTCCTGGAGGAGGCCTTGAGGACTAGGTGGATACTGTAGGAATCAGCAGTTCTTTCCCCCAAAAGGGCGGGTGAGATGTGAAGGTCTGACCCAGAATGAATGTGGGAGTTTGGAGTTCTCTCGAGGTACCACCCTCACATCCAGCCTGGTGCCCGGCTCTGGTCCCCAGCTGGCCCCTCGGGAGGGCCTGGCTCGAAACAGGCAGGGAAGCGTCCAGTCCCACTCCCTGGTTTGGCAAAAGGCCCAGCTGGGCTCTTCCCCCTTACTGTCCAGAGGACAGGAAATGTGGCAGCTGACACGGAGGGACAGCCTGCTGGGCAGGGAGTGGCAGGACGGAGGAGAGGGCATGGTTGGTAGGACACAGTGAGGGGCAGAACAGAGTCTCACGGAGTGGCCTCCCCATGGGGGCTGTGAGCGGGATGGACCTCTGGTGGCGAAGGCGGTCCTAGCGGCCACAGCCCCAGCGCGGGATGCTTGGAGGCGCGGGGGGCCTGCCCGGCTTCCCGGCCCTGCCTGGGCCTCGGCAGAGTATTGCTCAGACGTGCTTGGCCAGCCCAGGCCCAGCTCCGTTCTGCAGGTCGGTCTGGCTCAGCGTGCCGCGGGACGTCCCTGCCATCACAAACGTCAGTCTGGCTGTGGTGGCCACGGCTACCTGGTGTTCTGGAGGTCCTCCCGCAGCCAGGTGGGCAGCGTCTGGCCCATCTTGTACAGCAGCTTGGACAGCTCGATGTTGTGGTCCCGGTAATAGTCCTTCAGGAAGGCGCGGGACTGTAACAGGAAGGAGAGCTCAGATCGTGGTGATGTGCGGACTCAGAGGGACCCCCTTTAAAACCACCATCTGCTGGCACCTGCCCATATGCCCATTATTTGTCCACAGTCTTCTTCAAAACGGTTGCCTCCAAAAGAAAACTCCTACATAGTACGAGCACCAAATACAGCACATAAACACAAACACTTGTTACAGAGAGGAGAGAGAATGAGTTAAAACCAGGGGCGAGCCCGACCAGTGTGACTCAAGTGATTGAGCGTCAACCTATGAACCAGGAGGTCACGGTTTGATTCCCGGGTTGCAGGCTCGGTCCCCAGTGTGGGGCGTGCAGGAGGCAGCCAATCAATGACTCTCTCTCATCACTGATGTTTCTATCTCTCTCTCCATCTCCCTTCCTCGTTGAAATCAATTTAAAAAATATTTAAAAACCAGGGGCAAACACAAGGAGTCACAGCATGTGACCTTCCCCCTACATCCTTTGTACCTGCCCTTCTCTCCTACAGGAACGCCTCACCCTTCCCGCCACAGGTCCAAATGGGCCCCACCCTTTCAGGCCCAACTCCAGAGACCCCTCTACCCCTGACCCTGACCCTAATTCCCATAGCACTTCCGGGACCTCTCCTACTGCACGGAGCACGTCCTGCCTTGTATTCTACTTACTGGTGGATGTGACTCACTTCCTTCCTAGACTAGGAGCTCCTTGAAGGCGAAGAACATGCCTGATTCATCCTCGGAGCCCGGGGCACTCAGCCCTTGGTAGAAGGTAATTAATACTCATTTGGCCAAATCATTTCCGATCCACAACCCCACCCGCATTTCCTCATCTTTAAGAACACGATCCAGGAAGTGCCAAGGCCATTGACGTGCTGGGCTCAGGTAAAGGGGAGAGAAGGCTCCCTCCAGGACAGGGGCCCCATCCATTTTCCAGCTGCTGTGGGCAGCGTGTCCACCACTTACATCCAAGTCCATCTCTGGGTATTTCCGGCCCTTGCTTTTGCCCAGACACTTGGTTTTTCCTCCTTCGAGCAGCTGGCACCAAAATCCTTTCTTTGGATCAAACCTGTGGAGGTGGGGAAAGTCAGGGATGGGAGCTGGCCCGGCCCCGCTCCTTCCCACTGAGGCAATGTCCTCGACCCCAGGAAGGGCAGAGCCTAGGAGACTACAGAATCCTGCCCCCCACCGTGCCCTCTCTGGAGCCCACCGATTGCCCGGGGCTGACACTGGCATCTGCTGGCCCACGTTTTGTCCCGGACGCCATTAAGCCCGCCGGCCCCTCTTCCAGCCGGCGGCAGCTCACGTGGCTGGAGCCTCCCGTCTCTGGGCTGGCAGCCCAGATCCTACATGAATCCATAACCTGGCACCCCCCTCACAGCCCGGTAACCTCTCCTAAGCATTCCCCAGCCCTGGGGTGAGCAGCACTCTTTTATCCATGAATCCAACGGAGGGGGGCAGTTTAGTGAGGTTCTTGTGGTTTTTTTTAATAAACTGTATTTTTTATGAAGAATTACAATACCTGCAGTTGTATTTAAGCATGCCCATCATTGGGAAGTTTCATTTTTTGGAGTGAATTTCAGAAATGACAGCACAAGGCTGCCTTTGGGATTTGAAGTGATGCTGGACCTTCTAAGGCAGTGGTTCTCAACCTTCCTAATGCCGCAACCCTTTAATCCAGTTCCTCATGTTGTGGTGACCCCCAACCATAAAGTTATTTTCATTGCTACTTCATAACTGTAATTTTGCTACTGTTATGAATCGTAATGTAAATATCTGATATGCAGGATGGTCTTAGGCGACCCCTGTGAAAGGGGTCTCGACCCACAGGTTGAGAACCGCTGTTCTAAGGCATTTTGGGGAGATGAGATCTGAAGCTGTCATGGGGAGGGGAGGCATCCTGGCATCAGAATTCAGCCCCAAGCCAGGAACCATGAGGAGACTCGTGGGCACGAGGACAGCAGGAACACAGAATTCACCTTTGGCAGGTGAAGGAAGTAGGGATTTCTGAATGGGCATGGGGTAGGCAGAGACAATGGTGATGGCAATGACAGCAGCTGCATTTCTTCAGCATTACATGCCAGGCACTGAGCTAGGAGCTCCACGTGAATGCTTTCATTCAACACAGCGACCCTCGGGAGGTAGGGATCATTACCTATGTCCCCAACTCACAGGTGAGGAAGTGCGGCCTGAAGGAGCCAACACATTTCTCAAGGTCGCACAGCTAAGGAAGTCATGGACCTGGGTCCTAACCCAGGCATCTCTGACCTCACAGCCCACACCCTCAGCTGCTTCTGCCTCAAAGTGAAGGACTGACTGCCCTTCCCCACCTTCAACTTCCAAGATAGTGAGAAGGGCACATTCTTGCTGCGAGACTTTCCTAAGAAGGCAGCCAGGGGAGGTGCTTTATTCTTCCTTCTCAAGACGCCCCTGGGCCAGCTGAGGGTGCCACTGTCTGTACCCAGCACGGGGAGGCGGCCTGTGCCAGCCCTGAGCCCCGGCAGCACGCGCTGGCACTCACTCCTCTGGGGAGGGCACTGTGTGCACATCTGCACTGGGTTCTGAATGCCTGGGATTATCAGCCTCAACAACATCTGTAGTTTGCTTTTCCTAAAATTATATTAAGTCATAATCTAAGACTAAGAAACCTTGTGAGAATTGGGGCTGCTCACTGTTGGTCTAACTTACTAGATGAAACATCTGAAAATGTCCCGCCCAGACTGAACAGAATACTCCAGGAGCGGGGCCGACAGAGGAGAACAGATTTATAGATATGACCGAAGTCATGTTATTCGTAGCTTTTCTGCTAAATTGCCGTCAAGGACATGCATCCGTCCTCACACTGCTGCTAATTGACCTGTGTCTCTCCCGTCATCACTCTACACTTCGGTGCCTGGCCCAGCTGCCTGCTCAGGAAATCCCGTTCAAAGGCACCACTCACGCCAAGGCTTTGTGGTAGTCGATGGTGTTGGTCACCCCGAGGAACTTCTGCACTGTGTCCATCACTTTGGCAGGTTCTGTTCTCAGCAGTTTGCCATCCAAGACCAGAATCTGGAAAAAAAGAAAAGATAAAGGCATCAATTGAACCTGCTTTCACTCCCGTGGCAAAGGGGCCCCAGTTTTCTGGGTCAGCAGCCATGGTTACAAACTGGGGTTCCCGCACTCTGGAGAGTCTGTTGCCTCCCCCGCCTCTGAATGGCAGGTGTCCCTGGCCCGCTGCCCTCCGAGCCCAGCTCCCTGGTCTCTGCCCGCCTCCCCGACCGAGGTCATCCCTTCCTCCCATCCCCACAACTGCCCTCGCTGGCCTCTCCTCAGGCTTCTTGGCCCACATGCTGCTCTCCTGCCCGAGTCCTCCAAGTTTTCCTAAACGTGTCTCGTGATCTGGCCCTGCTACCCCTCCAACTAGGTTCTCCCTCCATCACCACACCCCCAAATCCCCTCCCAGGGACCTACTCCGGGGCTTTCTGGGTCCCCTTAAGAACACAGCCTCTGTTGTGATGGAACAAGGACTCGGGGATTCTCACACACCGACCTTGGGATAAACAAGACTGAAACCTCAGAGGACCCCAGAGGTTTAACTCGCCAGGGATGGAATTCCCAGCCCCGTGACTGGTGGGAGAGGTTTGGAGGCTCTCTGCCAACCACAGCACGCCCATACTGTGCTGGCCCTCCCAGGGGGAGGGATAGGCGGCTACCTGGTTGGCGTGAAAGGCGCTGAGCCAGCGCTCAATGTGGGTGGCGTACCAGCCGGGGACCAGGCAGCGGTTCTGCAGGGCACGCAACTTCAAGGACGCGTCGGGCCCGGCCGTGATCACCTCGTGGAAGGTGTACTTCAGGGCCACAGGGTCATCGTGGGCTCGCTGGTGCTGCAGGCAAGGGGAGAGGGTCGGCAGGTCACTTGGAGGGCAAGCAGGAAGAAGCTTGAGTGGGCGAGCAGCCATGAGGCCGCCAGAGCCCTGGGTTCAAGTCTACCGTCTGTTTCACATCTGACCTCAGGGCAGTCACCGGCCCCTCCGAGCCCTAATTTCCTCATCTTTGCAAGACACGAGTTGGAGGAGATCAGTTTCCAAACGCTGGTAATTTGCATGCCATCTCTGTAATTTCTGCAATATCCACAAACCACCTGCATGAGCCAATGTCAACATACTCTTCTTTACATTGACTCATCTTTCTTATTCACACACAGTAATTTCTAAAGAAAACCCACTATCCCCTCCATAAATGGAAAACTAGAACAGTTGTTGCACATGGAAAGTTCATAAATACAATAAAAATAATGCACAGTCAGATACAAACATCTGCTACAGACCCGGACCCCAAAGCTCGTGCTCTTTGTTGAAGACACAGCCTAGCAATGTTAGAAAGAACTTATGTGCCACTTGTGCCAAATTAAAAATTTCTCCTTTATATAAATCAGAAGGTGTTACAGACTGAATGTCTGTCCCCTCCCCAAATTTATATGTGGAAACCCTGACCTCGATGTGATAACACTGAAGATGGGGCCTTGGGGCCGTAATGAGGCCGAGATGAGGTCACAAGGGTGGGGCCCTGGTGATGGGATTAGCGTCCCTGTAAGAAGAAATGCCAGCGCGCACAGTGAGAAGGCAGTCGTCTAACAGCAAGGAAGAGCACCCTCATCAGGGGCTGCACTAGTGCCACCTTGATCTTGCATTTCTAGCCTCCAAAACTATGAGAAATAAATTCCTGTTGTTTAGGCCACCCAGTCTAGAATATTTCATTATGACTGCCTGAGGAGACTAAGACAGAAGGGTTGGAAGAACTGGACAGGGGGGAATGCCAGGTTTCAACCACCTGAAATAATGCCATGAGTCCTCAGCATCCGCAGAATTCCCATGGTCCAGAGATCAGGGACCTGCCGACCAGGGGAACCCTCACCTGTCCCCATACTCCCACTGAGGGTTGCACCCAGCTTAGAGGAACGGGGGAGGTCTGTGGGACAGACAGCAAAGAGGGTCTGTAGCTGGCCCCCTGCCAGTGCTGTGGGCACAGCGAGGCCCCAGAGAGGAGACAGCCACCAGCACCCAGGTGCATAGGCTCAGAGGGGACAGGGAGCTGCCTACAGTGGCCTGAGGAGGCCTTTCTGGATTGGCTGGTAGACCAGGTACCCCTAAGACCCCAGCACATCACATGGCTGGCAGGGAAGGACACCACCAAAAAGGCCTGTTAAGTCACATTGTCAAAATCAAACGAAGTCCTAGTTCTCCAGGATGGACTAGGAGTCATACTCTGACATGGATATAGTTCAGGTGACTTCCTAACCTGATCAGGCGTTGCATCCTCCACTGAGAATGGCAGATCCTATTATCTTGTCCTCCTCTGAATTCCCGCCCCTGCCCCTCCCAGGATCCAGTGAGGGGCCACAGGTAGTATCAGCCCAGATCACTATTCACCAAATCAAAGCAGACCCAGCTCCACCTCTTTTTGGCGTCAGAATGAGAGGCAGGACCCCAGGCAAAGCTAGGAGGGTGGGCAGATAACTGTTGGCTGGGATTCACCAAGGATTTCTGCTTGCTTCCCCCACCAGGCTAGAAGCACCATGGAGGTAGGACTCCATTCTTACCCACCACCACAGCCCAGGAGCCAAGCTAGGCTGTGACTAGTAAATATTTGGTTTTTGTTGTTCTTGTTGTTTTACTGATTTCAGAGAAACGAAGAGGGAGAGACAGAAACATCAATGATGAGAGAGAATCATTGATTGGCTGCCTCCTGCACACCCCCTTCTGGGGGTCAAGCCCACAACCTGGGCATGTGCCCTGACTGGGAATTGAACCTCGACTTCCTGGTTTATGGCTCAATGCTCAACCACTGAGCCACACCAGCTGGACGAATGAGTAGCAGAGAGCCCCACGCCCCCAACCAGGGCCCTGCTCCGGCCCAGCTCACCTGGTACCAGGAATAGGCCCGGTCCGCTGGGTTGATGAGGATGGTCAGGACCTTGGCTTTGGGCAACAGGGCGGCTGCCCGCCGGGGAGCCACTTCCGAATCAAAGTAGTTGGCGCTTTTCTCAAAGTAGAAGTCGGAGGTGGTGTTGGAGGGGATGGGGAAGAACTCCATGTACCTGCAGGACCCAAAGGGGGCTCACAGTCAAAACTCCTGAGGAAGGGGCTGAGGGATACAGCACAGAGGGCGAGGGTCGCTGGGGGTTGACCTTCCGAAAGCAAGCAGGGCACATGGCTCCCAGCCAAGCAAGGACTTGCTTCTGGCAGGGATGCTAGCGGAATGCCACTTGGCAGTCTCCCTTTCTGGAAATCCTTGGGGCGAGGACGATCTGAAGACTATGGGTTATGTCTCCATCCTAAACAGATGCTCCCAGAGTAAAACGGACAGGGCCCTAACTCCCACGGCCACCAGGGGGCGAGCTGGGACTCTGAGCGGCCTGACAGTTTCCCAGATGAACCTCCCATATCCCACCCGGAGTGACCGTCCACACTAGTCCTTTGAGACCATCTCTAAATTGAAGGCCCCTTAAAAAACTGGATGGACATTCCAGAACCCCCAGGGGCACCTACTCAAGCAAAATAGAGGGACATTTTCAGGGGTCCGTGGGAACCCAAGTGCACGAGGTCCACCCTAGTTAAAGTGTGGGATCCCTACTCTAACCTGTGAGACAGGGGCCCTCCAGGGGCGTCCCAGGGATGTCCCTCATCAGAGCCACATGAGGCAGGTGGGCTCCTGCACCCACCCTTCACATCTACGAAATCAAAACCTCGGGAATGGGCTGAGGAACTGTTCTTTTTCCTTCCCCCTTCCCCTTCCCCTTCTCTCCTTCTTCCTTCCTTCCTTCCTTCCTTCCTTCCTTCCTTCCTTCCTTCCTTCCTTCTTTCTTTCTTTCCTTTTCTTCCCTTTTCTTTCTCTCTCTCTCTCTCTCTCTCTCTCTCTCTCTCTCTCTCTCTCTCCTTTCTTCCTCTCTTCCTGAATTTTCTTCATAAAATGCATCTTTCTGTCCACAATTCATTGTAATACTTAGATCAAGAAAGCTCTGAAAACAGAAGCTTTTACCCATGTTTGTAGCGAAGCCATTTGGCAGCAAAAGCTGACATTAATCTTACTTGGTATAAATATTCACATACTTTGCCACAGACGTATTGATGTGTTTGCTAATGGAGTGCTGCCCCAGACCCTGCTGACGGTGCTGCTAAATAGATGGTGTCACGGCACAGCCCTCCCTGCAATCTGAAAAACGCTGGCTTCCAAGAATACATCTCACCACAATAGGTTTAATTTGTTTTTTCACTTTAAAAAAAATATGTTTGTATTGATTTTTACTTTTTTATTTTTTTAGAGAGAGGAAGGGAGAGGAAGAGAGACAGACAGAGTGAAAGAAATACTGATAGGCTGTCTCCGCATGCACCCTGGGGCATGTGCCCTGACCGGGAATCAAACCAGTGATGTTTGGGTGCATGGGTGGGACGACACTTAATCAACTGAGCCACACCGGCCAGGGCCACAATAGGTTTTAGACAGTTGCAGCCATTTTAGAGATATAGACAGAAAGACAGGTAGGTAAGTAGGTAAATAGAGAGATGGAAAACAAGAGACATAGACAAATAGCGAAAACGAAACAGAAGAATTGCCATGATCTCTCCACCCAGGTAAACTACTGACATAACAATACAGGAGAGTAGCACATGTGTAAGGCAAGAAAAGACAAACAGCAGAGAAAGATGTAAATTGAAAAAGGAACATAACACCGTCCCCGCGCGGTGCCTACACCACGGTAACCTCGGTGACGGCTTCTGGTGGAAGCTGCGATGTGAGCCACTCCCCAGGCGACTCCCTGGAAGCCAGCGAGCCGCCTCTGAAGGACCCACAGACACTTTGGTTCCGAGGTCAGCCACAGTGGGACGGGCCAGCTCTCGGGCCAGAACACTTGGATGCTAGCCCCTTGCTCTGTCCCCAGCTCTCGGGACCTTGGCTGAGCCCGTCCTCCTCTGGGACTCAGGATGCTTCTGTGCGAGCCAGGGAGGGGCTGGACTCTGACCCTGAGCAGTAAAGCAGAGGGTCATCGAGCGTCCTGTCCGTGACAAGGTTCCAACACCGTGGCTCCAGGGTCACCCCGCTCTGTCCCTGTTTACAGGAACTTTAGCTGCGTGTGAGCAAGCACAGCTGCTTCCTGCCGCGGCTACGGGGACCTCCTCCCGGGCAGGCTCTATGGCGGCCTTCCTGTTCCTCTGCGGACAGAAGGGCCCACTCACCAGTCGATGCCTTTGTGATAGTTTTGGCCGTTAAAAAACTGGATCTCCTCGAAGGTCTCTGAGCTGGGGTAGTTGCTGCTGAGGTCGGGGTGCATGCCCAGGAACAGGTAGAGGGCCGTGGTGCCTGCGTGACGGAAGGAGGCTGAGACCAGGGCCCAGCCCGGAGCCTACAATCCTGGGGTCTGGTTCTAGCTCTCCCCTGGGCACTGCGAGATCCTGGGGAAGTCCTTTCCCTTCTCTGGGGCTTAGTCTCCACATCTATACAGTGAGGGAATTACACTAAACCTGGGATGGCAAATACATGGCATGCGTGTGAGCACCCCATCTCCTGCACCCACTGCAGACATCACTCACCCGCCACAGCATTCTCATCCCTAAACGAGGACTGGAACTCAGAATCTTTCTCACCATGTACCCCAGCAGCCACACCCAACTCAGGACAGGCTCCTCCTAATCCCAGAACTAGGTCTAGGATTATGCTGGGCCCTTCTGGCCCTGGGCCTCTGTTCTCCCTGGCACTTGGGAGGAGCTCAGAGAAAAGGGCGCTCCAGACCCTCCAGGCTGTTGCTGTGAAATTCTTGAAGGGCTACGAAATCTGGCTCCAGGCGTCTTCTCCTGGGTGCCCTCACTCATGCCCCTCCCCTATTTGACAACACAGGGCCTAGCCCTCCTCCTTCAGAGAGCTCACTCCTTCTTGTGTGTGAGCCTATGGTTACACGCTGCAATGAGAGGCCCCAGCAGGGAAGGAGACTTTAGACTCTGGTGATTAAGAGTGTATGTTCTGGCCCTGACCGGTTTGGCTCAGTGGATAGAGCGTTGGCCTGCGGACTGAAAGGTCCCAGGTTCGATTCCGGTCAAGGGCATGTACCTTGGTTGCGGGCACATCCCCAGTAGGAGGTATGCAGGAGGCAGCTGATTGATGTTTCTCTCTCATCGACGTTTCTAACTCTATCCCTCTCCCTTCCTCTCTGTGAAAAATCAATAAAATATATGTTTTTTTAAAAAGTGTATGTTCTGGCCCTGGCCAGTGTTTCTCGGTGGTTACAGTGTTGGCCCGAGAACCAAAGGGTCCCTGGTTCAATTCCAGTCAAGGGCACGTACCTGGGATGCAGGTTCCCTGCCCCGATTGGGGCTCATGCAGGAAGCAACCAATTGATGTGGCTCTTTCACATTGATGTTTCTCTTTCCCTCTCTCTCTCTCTCTCTTCTCTCTCATCCTCTTCTCCCATCTACTCTCTCTAAAATCAATGGAAAAAATATCCTCCAATGAAGATTAACAAAACAAAAAAAAAAAGAGTGTATGTTCTAGGGTCACAGAGGCCAGGGTTCCAGGCCTAGATCTGCCATTTCCTAGCTGACTGTGTTAGAGGAAGTCACTTAACTTCTCTGAGTCCTGAGTTTTTTGCTATAAGATGAGGGTACATGTTTGTGTCTTAGAGAGTGTGGATGGCAGATACTTAGCCATCGTGTCACCACTTCCTCCTGCACCTCTGGCAGACATGGCCAACTGATCACATGACTAACTGATCGCAGTCTTCTCTGCACTGAACCGGTTTTGCCTGGCATTGCTCGAACTTGCTGAGCAGCTGATCTGGGCTTCTCTGCCTAGACTAGAGACTCCCAGGACACAGGGAGAGCTCCCTGAGGCTGCGGGGGTTCTGGACAGATTGAAGAATCACATGCCCACCCCACCCTCCACCCTGCTCCCACTGCCACATTGACAGGCAATTCCTATTCACCCCAACTTCACTCCTACTTCCTGGGAAAGAGGGGGCAGGTTATGCGGGAATGGTACCAGGGCAAGGTAGTCTCCAGGGTTCCATGCTGAGACAGTAGGCGATGGGGGAGGCTAGTCAAGAGAGAAGAGACCTGCCTGTTTTCTGGGGGCCAATGATGAGGAGTTTGGGGAAGCGGTCACATGTCTTCTCCTTGGACCAGATGTCTTTGTGGCGTTTGTCCTCGCAGGGGTCCTAAAACAACAGTGGAAGGGATGTCAGGGGGGCCAAGAACCCAGTGAATGGGCCCCATGGCACGTGGATTTGTGGCTCTTACACCCCGACTGACGGCTTTACTATGTGAGTCCTTGTCACATCCCCACCTCAGGACACTGGGCAGCTGGCAGGCAGGGGCCATTCTGGTCAGTCCTAGCAAAATGCTCAGCCCAGTGTTTGTCATACAAAGGGAATTCACAAGGGGTTGTTGAATTTAGCTGCCTGAGATGTGTCTTAACCAGGGGTCAAAAACTTTTACTATGAAGTTTAGTAAATCTTCTGAAATGTTAGCAAATATTTTAGGCTCGGAGCCTATCCCGTCTCTGTGGCACCTAGTCAGCTCCACTGTGCAGCGTGAAGGCAGTCGCAGGCAGTACGTACAGGACTGGGCGCGGCTGGGTCCCAGGAAGACGATAAAAATAGACCAGGGCCAAAGTCTGTGGACCTCTGCTCCGAACTATGAGCATGTCATCAAGTCCAGCTTCTGTTTCTAGTTTTTGACAGTCCCCAGAGGCAGGCTTCCCCGAGAATGGTCTCCCTCCACCCTCCCATCAGCCCCTTTCCCATGGCTCAGGGCCTGCTGGAGTGAGGAGGGCAGGGAGGACTAAGAGTCTAGCTAGGCTGGCAGTTGCTTTCTATACTTCCTCTGTATCACATTCACTTACGGTTGTACTGCTGCTTTTTCAGAAGCTGTGTGTGAGTGTGCATGCCTGTAGGTCTGTGTGGGAGGTGGACACGTATGTGCATGAGAACAAGTGAGTCAGCCCATGCTGAGAGCAAATGTGCACCTGAGTTTACACTCAAGAGTCTGAGGGTGTGAGGTTGAGCCCTGCCCACGTCTGAAGCTTGAGCCTGTGAACAGTGGGCATTCCCTCCCTGAGACAAGGCCTCCAAGCGCCCCCCTCTCACCCACCTGCCAGAGCGGGTCCTTCTCTTCGGAGAAGATCTGGAAGTACTTCTGGGCCAGCTGCACAGGGGGCAGCGTCTGCAGCCGGAGGTTGGTCCAAGAGTGCAGGAAGCGCACCAGGTGCTTAAAGGTGTACAGGCCCAGGCGGTCATTCCCGTAGTTGGACAGGTGCGTCATGAAGATGCTGATCTGCTCCAGGAGGGGGGAGCAGGGGAAGAGGCAGGGGCTGGTCAGCCTCTGAGCCACCGTCACCCACTTCTGACCTTTGGGTCTTGCTTCAGCTTGAAGGGCCACTCGATAACCAGCCCAAGGTTCATCGGGGCCATCCACAGTCTCGCTATGTGACCTGGGACTGGGCACTGCCAGGTGAATGCAGATCTGACTGACCAACTACTACAGCCCCGAGATGGAAGCTGACCTTTCTGGGTGTTCTGTTTCATGTTTTTGGCGGGGTGGTGGTGCATGGAAGATAAGGTAATACTTAGGTATCCCATAAAGCTAAATAGTACCACCACTTGATATTTATTTAACATCTTGATATCTCTATTAAAGCACAAATTATTATTTCCACTTTACAGATAAGGAAAGACAGGCCCAGAAAGTCCAGGTAAATAGTTTACACTATATGTATTATACATAGTTTACATATTGTTTACTATGTACATTAACATATACTTATATATTTATACACTCACACCAAGACTGGAGAGAGAACGTGGTTTAGAATGCTAACACTCTACTGAAGTGCGAGATTATAAAAGGAAGAAAAGCTCGGATTGCCTGCACAGGCCATGCTGCGAGCAGGGACAGAGCAGAGGCTGGAGAGTGGGTTTCCCAATTCCCGGCCCTCACACCCGCTCTACCCGCTGCTCCCAGGCCCGAGGAGGCCTGCCTCAGGCAGACAGGCACCGCAGCCCACCTCCCCGCCAGCCGAGGCGGAGGAGCACTCACGGGATTGAGGAGCACGGTGAGGAAGAGCTCGCCCCCGTTGATGATCTTGTCCAGCTCGCTGGAGCCACCAGGGTACTCGCTGTAGAAGATGGTGTGTGTGAAGAGGCCGCAGGTCTGCCGCGGGAGGACCTGGGGATGGGGACAGAGAGGAGCTCTGGCACCTCCAGGCAAGGATGGAGGAGGGAGGACCCCTCCTAAGAGCAGCCAGGGTGTTTATTATCTGTCTCCTCCCATGAAACTGTGGGCTCCAAGAAAGCAGAGAACTCATCTGTCTTGTCACCACCTCATCCTGCAGTTAATTCAAGGGCCTGGTACTGAGGGGGTTGGTGGGTTGGTGGAAGGTGGATGGATGGATGGATGGATGGATGGATAACGGATAGATGAACCTGGCCTCCCCACAGCTGCCCCATCTGGGCTGACAACTCATCCTTTCAGCAGTTCAGGCCAAAAACTCTGGAGTTATCCTGGACTCATCTTTCTCCCACACCTGACATCCAATTCATCAGCAGACCCTGCTGGCTCTAACTCCTAAGTAAGTCCAGAACCGTCCCAACATGGCCCCCTGTCCAAGCCACCACCATCTCTTGTCTGGAAGCCTGCACCTAACTGATCTGCAGCCTCCCACTTTGTCCCCAACAGTCTCTGCTCCACACAGCAGCTAAAATGATGGAAACCCTTTTAAAATATGTCAGATACTAACAGCTCACCAAAGCCGTGCTTCGAAGGAGTGTGTGCACACCGCCTGCTGGCTGCGGGGCCCACTCACCATGATGCCGTTGTGGACGAAGCCACGGCGGTAGCGGGCCGGCTTCAGGTGGGGGTACTCCTCCGTGCTGGTCACTCGGATGTTCCACACCTGCTTCCAGGCCTCGTACAGCTGCACGTGCACAGGGTACACGCCCGAGTGGTGGGGCGCCACTGCGTACCCCATGTCTGTGGGAATGCCGTGCTCCTGGGGAGAGGAGGGCCAGGGCAGGGTGAGCGGGGGCCCATCCCCTCTGGGCCTCATTTCCCTTTGCAGAATGGGACAGAGAAATCAGCGGCTAGAGCAGCAGGGCCATGGGCCCAAGCCCTCGTGGTACAGAAGGGGAAAGGGGGCCCAGGAGGGAAGGGGATGTGCTCAGAGTCTCCACGCAAGGGACTGGCTGAGCTGGGACTCTAACTCTCGGCCCAGTGTCGTGCCCTCCAGCACCCAGGAGTGAGGAACAAAATGGGGCTTTTTCTGCCAACCTGGGCTTGGCACTGGCTGCGGCCCAGGCAGAGCTAGCACCGGCCTCGGCCTCGTGCCCTCCTGGCTGAGGGAGCCCCCCATCCTAGCCTGAAAGGAAGAGCCTGGACTTCGGAAACAAACGGGCCTGGGGTGAAGTCTCACTAGCTGGTGTGGCCGCCCTGCGCTTTAGTTTCTTGTCTAACAGGAGGCTACCAATACCCGCCTCTTGGGGTCTCTGTGAGGCTTCCATGCGACCGGGGCTACAAGGATGTTAAATGAGGAGCTGTCAGACCGAACTGTGAAAGCAGCCAGAGGCCCAGCGTCGGCCCCCAGCCCAGCCCCTAGCCCGCCCGGCTCTGCCCCGGAGGGAATCTTACTCACGACAGCGAACTTCTTGTTCAGGGCCATCTGCTCAGCCAGCACAGACTGGTTGTGGAAGAGGTGGGGCTGCATGTGGCTCCACATGTGGGGGAACCACCAGAACTCCTTCACGTAGGACAGCAGCAGGTCGTCCCCAGCATCCTCAGCATCAGTACCTGCAGCCCGAGCACAGGCAGCTCAGCCCGGCCACCTGCCCTGAGGTCCTCCAACCTGGGCAGGTGGACAGGATGGGAGGAGGCAATGCCACGCCCTCAAGAGCTTGGAACCGTTGCCTGAGCTACAGCACAGGAGCAGACATTAACTATTTCTGTAATTTCTTAAAATCCAAGGACACTTTAAGCAGAAATAGTAATCATTTTAAAAGGTCGGGTAGAGGGGGTGACACGAGGGAGAACTTCCCCAGAACAGCACAGCCTGCAGCCAGGGAGGCTCAGGGGGAGCATGTCCCCAATGGCCTCTGCCTGGGGCTGTGACTGTTCTGTGAGCTGTTGGCTGGGGGGTGGGAATGGGGGGTACAGGGATCAAATGTGCCTCTAATATGGCCCATCAGACCACATGCTGCCCGTGGCACAGTGCTCTGAGGGGCTGGATGTAACGGCCCCTGGAGGTTGCTAGCGGGGCACAGCCGGGCCACTTACCTGTGTGGAAGAATTTCCCTGAGTAGCCCAGGTTGAAGGTGAAGTTTGGGATGTGTGTGCGCAGTTCATTCTGTGTATCAAACAGGGCCTAAGATGGGCAGAGGAGAAAGAAAGGGGTGAGGGGAGAGCCAGCAGCTCCCATTCCTCCCACGGAGGCCTGGAAGTGTCCTACTGTCCCAGGACCGGCTAAAACGTCCGTGGGGCCCGGGGGAAATGAAAACGTGGGACTCTTACTCAAAATTAAGAATGACAGAAAGGCAGAGCAGAGCATTACACCTGTACGAGCCCTTCGGAGCACGGGGCCCTGAGTGGCTGCACGGGCCCCATGCCCCCGAAGCCAGTCCCGAGTGGCCACCCACACCAGGCTTCTGGCAACGGGAGTCCCAGACTCTAGGCTGGCTCTGCCGTGTCCTTGAGAGCTTCATAACTTCTCCAGGCCTCAGTTCCCCCCGAGGAATGGGGGCAATAGCATCTCCCTACGGGGCTCTTGGGAGAATTAAATAAGATTCTGCATGTTGAACTGTCTGACATTTGGTAAATGGTGACGTCGTATGTCTGTCTATGTCACTGCCACTGTAAGACCCAGATCTTCACATGTCAAATGTGGAGGACTTCTCCTCACAGGGGAATGCAAGGCCAATGTCAAAGGACCATGACCTTTCCAACGATGTACTGGGCGCCCAGCAAAGCAATGTTCCCAGGCATGGCACGCCCAGTGCTTTGCAAGTCAATGAAGGGTTGTTGACACTTCTGAAACAAACCTACAGTTGTACTCTGGGATCAAGACTCGAAAAAAACATCCTTGCATGACACACAAGGCTATCCAAGAGCCTGCTATCCAAACACTGCAGACTCCATGTCCTGGCCCCCTGGGCCGCCACCGGCATCTTACCATGGCCACACACTGCCTGGTGGACACGCACACTCCAGCCGGGTGGCCTTGGGTGAGTTACTTCATTTCTCTGAGCCTCAGTGCCCTGCTCTGTAAAATGGGACTTACGACAAGGCCCACCACACAAGGCTGCTGTGAGGGTCTGATGAGGCGACACACAGAAGGCCTGAGCCCAAGCCTTGCCCTCGCCAAGCCCTGCATAAGCAGCTGTTGTTGGCGTTATTTAAATTGCACTGACAGCCAGTACTGCCCCAGTCTCTGACAGAAAGGCTCAGTGCAGCCCGTGCTTGGGATTAAAGAAAAAAACCCACTCTGTCCTTTTTGACTCACAAGGACATTTAAGGCAAACGGGACCCTGGCTGGCGAAGCGTGGTGCAGTCTGCACTGAGCTAAGCGAACGGCAGAGGGCGCTTCTGTTCGTATTTTTTACAGAAATGGCTCCAGACTGCTAGCATTCCTCCCACTCTAAAATAGGGAAAATAAGGGCAGGGCAGGGGGCAACCCCAGGTTCATGGGGATACAGTGAGCCTGCAGCCTGGTTGCCACATGAGGTCAACCCCGGACAGGGAGCGAAGACCCAGGTTACACGGGAGAGAGCAAGGTTGGGCCATCAGAAGACCGTCCTAAGAAATCTCAGGAGGAAACACGATTCATAAAGCAGACCAAAGCAATGCTGCCCTGTCCCAGGAGGCGGGAGCCGGGAGGGCTCAGAGCCTGGCTGTCTGCACCCCCCTCACGCCTCACCCCAGCCCCTCTGTGAAAGCCTAGGATGTCAGAAAATAGCCTGAAACCCTCCCGTCCACCCATCTTGTCACTTTGTAGCTGAGGCTCAGAGATGGGAAGGGACCTGCCCGAGTCACCCAGTGAGGGTCAAATTGGAACTTGGAGCCAAATCTTGATTCCCGAGACAGTGCCTACTCCCTACACCATCTGCTCTGCCCTTGTAGGGAGGCGAGAGGAAGAGTAGAGAATTTACTCTTGACCAAGGCAGGAGCGTGACCCCCCACCCCAGCCTTCCTTCCAGGCCCAGGGCCAATCCCAACAGTGATATCAGAGGATGGAGACAGCAGGTGAAAAGCATTCCTCTTGGAAGTCTCTTTTCCAATCCTCCTCCCAACATCAAAAGGAGTCTCGGTTTGGCGCTAATATGTCTCTGACACTTGCTAATCCGTAGAAGAGGACAGGCGGCCAGAGGCAGCAGTGTCTCAGCAGAATTTAATCCCGGCTTTGTTTTCACTGGAGCTATTGTTATGGTTGCCCTCTATTCACGGCAACCGACACTGATTCCCCATTTCTCACTAGTGAGGGCCTTTCCTTCGTAAATAACTTTGAGTAAAATAGCGAGTAGATGAAAACTCTAAGAACTGCCCGATGGTCTTAATGTGCTGGCTTCTCTTTAGTAGTGAGCCGTTTGTAAAACTTCCTGGTTTGCAAACCGCTTGTACACAGAGTTTAGTTTGGTAAACACACTTTGAATTAAACACATGCATTCCACTGTCTACACAGACCTCAGTTGAAATATGCCTTGTGTATGACTCCAGCTCTAGCTCTTGTTTAAGGAGTTTGTAGGAACTCTGGGACTGACATATAAACATTTCTGAGAGTTAAAAATCATGTTTGGATTACAAGGCGGGTGAACGACCCTGCCCAGCTCCCATCTGTGTCTCCGTGGCTGGGTCTCTTCCTCCAGATACATTCTTGAGCTCCACACTCCAGATGCAAATTCCTCTATAGTCAATACTTCGACATAGTTTTAAATGACACTGGCTTCAAATAAGGCAACTAATAAAGCCAACTGGCCAAGGGAGGGCCTAACAGTGCAGGGGAGATGCAGACAGCCAAGTCCTGCCTGAGTACAGGAAGGTGTGCAGGTCGGCCGGCCCCCCTCCCCGGGCTGGTACCCAGGCCCTACCTTCACGTCCTCCACCTTCATGCGCGTGCCCTCCTTGCCCACAAAGATGTCGTCGATGTCCACCAGGATGTAGCGGTCCAAAGGCAGCGAGAGGCGCTTGCCGGTGAGGAAGGCCACGGCGTCCACAAAGATGAGCTTGTGCAGCCAGAAGTTGAGGTTGTTGCCGAAGAGCACGCGCTGGATGCCGTCATGGAGGCCCAGGTCCTGGACCACGGTGGTGTGCAGCGCGGCGTGCAGGCCGGCGTCCGCGCCCAGGTGCGGCATGGACTCGGAGGAGCGCGTCTTGGCCAGCAGCACTGGCTCGTAGGTGGAGTGGTTGGACTGGAACACGGTCCAGTCCTCGCCGGGCAGCATACCCTTCTCCACCTCGCTGGGCCGTGTCACGTAGAGCAGCGGGGACCTGGGGTTGATGCTGCAGTCCTTCAGGCCCAGGTTTGAGTGCAGGAACAGGGGGAAGCCTTTGAGCTGCGCACTCAGCAGGCTGTTCTCGTTGGCCTGCAGTCGGGGTGAGGCAGGGAGGGGGAAACAGAGCCATCATGTCCAGAACCCTAAGGGACCACAGAATCTCAAGTGTGCAATAACAGTAATGTCACTCACCTTCCGGGGAGCTTGCCACGCATACCTCTGGCCCTGTGCTAACCGGGCCACGCAAACTCAGCTTCACCTGTCACAATAATATACTAGCTAACACGTATGCTGTCCTTACCGGAGCCAGGCACTGGGTTCAAGCGCTTTGTATGCGGGTTGCTAGTAATCCTCAGTGACCCCCACCATGGAGGAGGCATTGCTATCATTCCCATTTTACAGATGAGGAGAACGAGGCTCAGAGAGGCTAGGTAACTTGCCCAAAACCACAGAGAGAGAGGTCCAGCAGTGAGAGTATGGACTCTACCAGCAGACTGCTTGGCCCTGGGCAAATTATGTAACCTCTCTGCCTCAGTTCCTCTGCTGTACAATGTGCCTGAGAATTCGGTAAGTAGCTCATGAGGTGGTGGAGGAGGATAGTGTAATGCTGGCAGAAGTGCTTAGAACAGGGCCGGCGGCATCAGCAATTGCTCATTCAGTCCTCACATGAGCCTCAGGAGGTGAGGAAACCGGCTTTGAGGGGAGTGCGGCCCTCAGTCACACAGTGGTCAGGAGGAGCCAGTTTGTAGCCGATGGTCTAGTTCCGGAGCCCATACACCTGACCACCAGGCTGTTTCCTGGGGGTTTCCAAACTGCTTTGGCCACACAAACCTTTCTACAGGGGAAATCTGAGGTGATGCCAGTGTAGACGAGATCAAAGAGGAGGTATCTACTGGGGGTGCAGACACTCTACCCCACAGCTCTCCCAACCCCCATATATCCCCAGTACCCTCAAGGCCATCCCCTCACAGGAACCCAACTCCCCATACCTCCCTTCTCCTCCCAGGGTGTGCTGCTGCCCAGCTTCCTGGGGACCTGCAGACAGTACCCTCAACTCCCACTTCTCCTCTTCCCTAGGCTCACAGCCCTGCTCCTACACACCCTCTCTCACCCTCCCAGCCACCTGCCTCTGGATATGGTATAATTTGTCCTTGTCTCTGTGCCATTCTGTCTTCTTGGCCTGGAAAACTCCTGCTCATCCTTCAAAACCCAATGCATATACCCTCTTCTCTGCGCTGGCCTTCCTGGGACCATGTTAAAGCCTCAGCTATAGCACTTTTTACCTTGGCTGCTGCATTTATGTTGAGGGTCTCTCTCCCACCAGTCTGTACCCTCTTGAGGGCATGGGCTATGTCATTTCCAGCATAGGCTTGACACCCCGAGGGAGTGAACACATATTTGATGAGTAACTGACTCAGGAAGACTCGGTGTCTCCTGAGTGGGTCTTTAGTGCTGAGGGACAGGAGGGGTTCCCCTCCTGCGGGAGGTCAGAGGAACAGACAGAGGAACAGACAGCTCTCCAGTACCTGGCACATGCCAGCTGTTCAGTACAGGTTTCACCTGTTCATTTCCTAGCTATTCACCATGCCAGACACGGTGTTTAGTGTCAGGGATGCAGTGAGGCAAAACAGACAGGGTCCTTGCCCTCATGAACCTTCAAGTTGAGCAAGGAAGAGAGACAGCAATCAAATCGCAGAAATAAATATAAAACTTCAATGAGGCACATGTTGCAAGAGGAGGTGCATCATTCTAGAATAGTGGATGACTGGTGTAGTCAACCAGGGAAGGCCTCCTGGAGAAAGGGGCCTCCTGGAGAAAGGGACTCAAAGGAATAAGCATCAACAAGGGGAGAGGGAGAGGCCCAGTTCTAAGAACAGCAAGTGCTAAGGCCCTGAGGCAGGAGAGGGCTCAGCACAGTCAAGGAATGGCAAGAGGACAA